GCTCAGGGGAGACCTTCTCACCCTCTGCAACTCCCTGACAGGAGGTTGGAGTCAGGTGGGGGTTGGTCTCTGCTCCCAGGCAACCAGCAGCAGGACAAGAGGACACAGACTCAAGCTCTGCCAGGGGAGGGTTAGGTTGGATATATTAGGAAGAGATTTTTTCCAGAGAGAGTGCTCAGGCATTGGAATGTGCTGCCCAGGGAGGTGGTGGATTCACCATCCCTGGAGGTTTTCAAGCTGAGACTGGATGTGGCACTTAGTGCCATGGGCTATTAACAGCAGTAGGGGTCAACTCGATGATCTTGGAGGTCTCTTCCAACCAGGCTGATTCTATGATTCTATGCAGTTTAACATGAGGAGATTGTTATAGTGTAGATTAGAGAGTAATTTAAAAATATTCTGTCACTAGGCAGTAAAATAAAGGACCAAAAATAAAACCCATCAAAGTGTGTCTCAACTGCAAAACACCAAATGCCCATCCCTGCCTGGACTGCACCCTCAGTGAAACACTCCTTCTGAAACAGAATCACCTCTTCAATGGAACAGACCTCAGCAGCATTAGCCATTGAACAGTAAAGTCAGGTTTGAGAACCTTAAATTTAGGGTGTATTTGGTGGAAAAGCTCATGTCAATACTAAAAACTTGTATATTGAAAGAACAAAATTAAGAAAGGTGATACAACAAACACAAACGCAAAGAAGATAAAAAGCTGGAGCAAGAGTGACCGAAGAGGTTGCACAAAGTCTAATCCAGCTGTAAAAACAAGCTCCCTGCTGGTTTATAGGTCTCAGTGATACAGGCCAAAATACCAGCTAACAGCATGTACCATCACTCCAGATAAACATCATTTCGTCTTACCAAACATATGGAAAAACACAAACATCAATCTTGTTCCTCTCTCTGAAAAAACAGCCTGAGACAAAACAGTCAATTAGCTCAGGAAAAAAAATGCAAGCACCAATAGACATAAAACCTTCAACTTGTATAAGTCATTCTAGAAAAAGTGATAGAAAAGTAAAAAAGTGATGACATAAAGCAATTCTAGGATGCAGGTCACAAAATCAATCTTACTGTTCTATCAGGAGAATTTAGCTACTTACATGGGGCATGATTGTGATGCACCAAATAAATTCATCAAGTTGAGGAGTCTGGGGCAGGGGGGTTAAAGCCCTTTATATACAGGTTAGACAATAGCTGAGAAAACGAAAAAGTGGATACTGAAACTCAGTCATAATGCAAATTACACAACTGAACTAACAGAAAAAACCAGAAATGTGAGTAAGAATTCATGGTTTTTGTTTTGAGCTAGGAATAACAATCATCTTTTATTCTAAAGAAGGGAGGTGGATTTTTTTCTGAAAGTCAAGCTCAAACATTCCAAAGCCTTAAAAGAAGATTCACCTCCTTGGGTGAAGTATTTCCAAGTTCCTCCTGCATTTTCCATGTATCAGAACTCAGATAAATAGAAAGTTAAGTCAACACCAGAACGTAGATTCTCACAACTCCATTTGTCCATATTGAATAGTAGTCAGTATATTAACTTAAAGCCTAAATTAGTAACTAAAAATGTTCCACCAAACCCACTGTTTTGACAGAACATGATAATCAGTGCCCTTACTTTATTTAATGTACAAACCAGAAACTTTAGTTTAAAGAGCAAAAATTAATCCTGCTTTTTTCCCCACTGTTTCCAAAGAAGTAACCTTTATTTCACACTGAGTATCATGACAAGCAAAGGCAATCTGCTTGATCCACTGCATTACAGCAATAACCCCAAACTACAAGCACAACCAATGCCAAAAACAACCTCACGCCTTAAATCACCTTTAATTATAACAACTTTTATCTAGACTTCCCACATAAGCAATATCACACCAAGAGCTCTGGCTGCTGTTTTGAAAATTAAGTACTGCTGTGTTGAATTTGAAGGTGAACAGTTAGGGGTTTCTGTGAAAATCAGTCTCACAAAACGGGAATGAACTTAGTACCACAAAAAGGACACAGGAGCAGTTTCATTCAGATTAGCAACTGAATACATTTATAGTTTTGGAACTCATAAAAACCTGTGAAGGAACTGTCACTTACTCTGTGTGGCCCTGAAAGACATTCACAGAATGGATAGAAGGATCTCTGAAATCCCACAGACGGAAGGTCGTGTCACGCGACGACGTCACCACAAGACGCTGGGTGGGATGTGTACAACAATGTGTGAGCTCTTGGTCGTGCCCTACAACCACAGATGAGAACATCTAAGGTAATGAAAATAAGACTTTTTATTTCCATGTACACTTAGAATAAAATGCTGATGATTCGGGTTTGTTTCCTCCAAACACAAAAAAATAATGATCATACTGAACTTCAACCTAGTTACTGCTGTCAAAGTTTGGAACAGTATTTGAAGGCAAAAAGCCACACTACTTACTTCACATTAAGTAGTGATAGGTTATTGCTTCTTAATACACCAGGAACACAGCAGAAACATTTGGCAAGAACTAAGATTTGGGTACATTCAGTTTAAGAAACGATTACTTTCATAGGTTAAATCACAAGCTTAAAAGACGACAAATTGATGCTTGGGGGATTTATAAGGTTGTGATTCTAGAAACTATTACAACATTGAGCAGCAGCTTAAGTCTTGTACACACTTGTGTTGTGCTCCATAGAAAAACTTGACTTTTCCCAGAGTTTCACTATCTACAAAAAATCCCATATACAAAAAAAACACCATATACAAAAAACCACCAACCTAATTTTTTGTGAGTGAACAAATACCTGTAAGAGAATGGACAAGTTCGGACGTCTCTATATCATACAGATTTGCTGTCCTGTCCCACGATGCTGTCACAGCTTGCTTCCCCCCAACAAGCCAGTCAGCTGCTATGACCACTCCTTGATGGCTTTTCAGTGAGGTTAAAGGGGCTCTGACAGTGGGGCAATCACTAGAGCCATCTCCGTCTCCATCAGGTTCATCTTTATCTGAGAACTCAACTTCGTCTTCTCCAGACACTTGCTATAAAATTCAACAGAAAAAAAAAAAGATTTAAAAGGAAGAATTGTCTCCAAGTTATGTTTTACAAAGTAAATGTTGTTTCCCAATGTCCTTAATGTGAATGTGGATAACACAATTCTGCAGCACCCAGCCTATTCCAAGTACTCACCAAACTGAGTGGAAGGAATATAACCAGTGAGTTAAAAGCAGTTTTAATGGCTTTAACAACTCCATGAGGAGCAGCTGAGGGAGCTGGGGTTGTGCAGCCTAGCATAAAGGAGGCTCAGGGAAGACTTTATTGCTCTCTGCAACTACCTGAAAGGAGGTTATAGCCACATAGGTGTCAGTCTTCTTGCAGGCAGCAACTGACAGGACAAGAGGAAATGGCCTCAAGTTGCACCAGGGGGTGTTTAGATTGGATATTACGAAAAATTTCTTCACCAAAAGGGTTATCAAGCATTAGAACAGGCTGCTCAAAGAAGTAGAAGAGTCACCATCTCTGGAGGTATTTAAAAGACATATAGATGTGGCATTTATGGACAGAGTTTAGTGATGGGCTTGGCAGCGCTGGGGTATCAGCTGGACTCCATCTTGAGGGTGTTTTCAAATCTAAACGATTCTATAATTCTCATTCATTTTAAAATCTCCCCTGAACTCTCACTCTGAGTATCTGTCCCCTTTACTATCTGATGAGTCCTTTTATATTCCCCTTAACTGTATTATCCTAGAGCTTTAGTGCAGCACATTTATCAAGGGACATTTTTTCCTTCAATTTAAGGGTAGGAAGTGTCTAACAGGACACTGACTATTTTAATCTTTAGATTTACAAACATGTCATCCATTAGAATCAAATAATTACATCAATATTTGTCTGTTGGTCAATAGGTAGTCACCATGCTAATGTAAACTGGATGCAAAATAAATTCTTTTACTAACCATGAAACATCTGTCTCTGAACCTCTTTTCCACTTATACAAGAAAAATACATTTTTCTTTTACACTATCTGGATGTGAAAAATATAACATTGGTACTGTCCCTTCAAAATGGTGATGCCAAATCAGGTAAACTGAATCAAACATTTTTGAGCCAGAAATTTATCTCACATTGTACTGCCACCTCTTGGTCCTACTTATCTTACTGAGAAGCTCATGCTATAAACTGTGTTTGTATTCACAATTTAGTAAGAATGCTTTTAAGCAAAATAAGAATTTGACAGTATAGAGTAAATACTGACTAAATAGAGGCCTGGAGACAACAACATCAGATACTGTGATGTGTGCTGGCAAGGGCTGATTAGAAATCAATGAAGATACAAGCAAACAAATGCCAAAATTACAAGTCTTTAGCATCAGTTGTCAATTCAGAGCAACCAGAGCTACAGGTGCTTCAGGAAGTCAAGCTGCAAGAATTTAACTGGTTTCAAAAGAACTTCATTATTTATTATTTGAATTATGACCCCAAAAAAAAATTACTCAGCAGCCCATTTACTTACATGTTTACTACCTTGAACAAAAAGTCAATTAGTCTACTTTCAGCTGCAAATTCTCTTCTGCACCACACACCTTTGAAAACATGGAGCAAACCTGCTGCCAAAGAAAGGCTGAAATACATCTGTTAAACTAAAACCTTGAAACCCTACCTTTGGTGATCCTGAAATCATGCAATTTTTAAATTGTGTATAAATTTAACACTCAGTCTTATCATAAATCCTGCATCCGATGAAACTGCCGTGCAATTAGTTTAGTTGCAGGAAGTTGATTGCTTACATTGCAGTCTGCAGTTGGCTGAGGTGTAGGCAACTGTACTATGTATCTCCAGATGTGAGCTGTCTGGTCTCCAGATGCTGCACAGGAGGAAGAGAGGTGAAAAAGAGAGAAAGAATAAATAAGAGCATTTCCATGGGCGATGACAAGAAGCTTTAACATTGCATGTGTCAATACTGTCTGAGTTCCATCTTTTTTTAACAGATACCATTATGAACTTTATGGTGAGCAAGTCTCGGTATCAATGGTTACTCTCCTCACTTCAATGCTGACTGAGAATATAGTCCATTATGCAAAATATAAGTGGCCACAAAATTAATCACTCCTATACTGAAACATCCACTTAAACACCACACACCAGAACACCAGCATCACCACTGCTCCAATACGTAACATTTGAAGAAGGCATTTAAGACATCACCAAGTGCCATTCTTCATTTGCTATTTCTCAAAATACTGTGGTTCTTCATTCAATGATTTCTTCCATTAAATGTTTCCATGTGATTTTAATGAGAAACCCAAAAGAGCAAGTGTGAAGCTATTCTGCTTCTGCCTAAAGCAACTCAGCTTAATTAGCACCACTTTACAGCACAGCAGGTACCATCTGATTTTAAACTTCATTTGTTTTGAAATAGACTTACCTATTATTAACCAAGGAGAAACTTAAGATTGTCCATGCTACGGACAGAACAAACATGTTCTAATACCCAGGGGTACACTGCTGAATGTTCTAGATTGAGAAAGACAGTTCGTAATGAGTATGCAAAGCTCCGTCAGGTGCAATGTACATGAAAGCACTAGGAAAAATATCTCATCTAATAGACCAAGTAGGAAGGCTAGAAGAAAGGTCAACCTTGTATTATTTCTGATGTCACTACTCTGGAACAGGGGGAAAGATTTTTATTTCAATCAGTTCTAAATCAATCACCACTGAAGAACAAGACCCATGAAAACTTTCAATTGAAATACTTTGCAGAACCATCTCTCAGAAAAATAATGGAAGAACAAAAATCTAGCTACAGGCAGCTTTTGTTTGCTTGGTTCGGTTTTTAATAAGTCAGTTTACATAACGACATTTTTATGGTACTGAAACAGTGGCTATGGTTAGCATGTGAAAACAGGAAAATCCAAACAGACAAATCATTAGTCTAGATAGAAGGCCTGCTATTCCCTCCCTTCCTTTCAAGTGATCACTGCAAATGCAAAAAGCAGAAGTGTTTTAATTTCTAACCTCAGTAATAATTATCCTCATTTTACAATGACTTACCTAACAGCAGCAAATTGACTCCAGACCTCTTTAAATCCAAAGCTAGTGCCCTAATTGCTGGGCTACATGAAACACAGCATTAACCACATTAGACAGTTCTCAAACCTGAAACCACATGATGGTACACTCAGGCCTTTACACTAACAGTTACATTTTCAAACCATTTTTCCTGCACACTCAATAGCACATTATTTTCCTTTACTTCTGGGAATATCATGTATAGATATACAGCAGGCTACATCAGTTGGAAGGGACCTACAACAATCATCTAGTCCAACCCTCTGATCAATTCAGGGCTGCCCGAGTTAAGGCCTGTTGTTAAGGGCACTGTCCAAATGCTTCTTAAACACTGACAGACTTGGAGCATCAACAACCTCTCTAGGAAGTCTGCTGCAGGACTTGACCAACCTCTTGGTAAAAAAGTGCTTCCTAATGTCCTGTCTAAACCTTCCCAGTACAGCTTTGAACCACTCCCATGAATCACTGGATCGCAGGGAGAAGAGCTCTGCATCTCCCTTTCCAGTTCTCCTCCTCAGGAAGCTGTAGAGAACAACCAGATCATCCCTGAGGGTCTTTTTCTCCCAACAGACAAGCCCAACGTCCTTAGCTGCTCCTCACAGGACATGCCTTCCCATTCAAGGACCTTCACATCCTTCTGAAACTGTGGGGCTGCACCCACACTGAATACAGCAGGATAATCACCTCTTTAGACCATCTGTTTGCACCATGTTTGATCCATGCCAGGTTGAGGTTTGCCCTCTTTGGCTGCCCAGAACACCACAGTCTCACATCAAGCCTGCTGCCTACCAGAACCCCTAGAGCCTCTTCTGCAGGGCTGCTCTCCAGCCACTCCTCTTCCAACTTACACTGTGCACAACATTACTCTGTTCTAGGTGCAGAATCAGGAACTTGAACTTGTTAAACCTCATCCCATTAATCACTGCCCAATGCTCTCACCTATCACAGACCCCTCTGCTAGGCCTCCTGCTCCCCAAGTAAGTCAACAGCCTCTCCCAGTTTGGTATCACTGGCAAACTTGCTAATGGTGCATTCAGCTCCTACATCCAGGTCATTGATAAATATATTTAACAGGGCTGGCCCTAGAATTGATCCCTGAGGAACACTACTGGAGGCCCTCTGCCAGCCAGATCCATCCCCATGCACTGTAATCCTTTAAGCTCTGCCCTTCAGCCAGCTGTTCACCCAGCACACTGTGAACCCCTCATCCCACAGCTGGACAACTAGTCCAGAAGGATGCTCCAATGGATAGTATCAAAACCCTTACTTAAAGTCAGCAAAACTACACCCACCACCCTTCCTTCATCCACTAGATGGGTGACCTCATCCTAAAAGGGTATTGAAGTAGTTAAAGAGGACTTTTCCTTTATGAACCATGTTGACTGTGCCTGATTATTGCATTATTCTTTAAATGCCTTTCAGTAGCACTCATAATAAAATCTCCATAATTTTTTCAGGAGCTGAAGTTGGACTGACAGGTCTGTAGTTCCCTGGGTCTTTCCTCACACCCTTCTTGTAAACTGGAATAACACTGGCTAGCTTCCAGTCATCAGAGACCTCCTCAGACTCCCAAGACCTTCGGTAGATAATCAAGGTGACCTGCTGCAACAGCCACTAGCTCTTTCAGTACTCTGGGATGAATCCCAGAACATTCAGCCAATGTATAATTCTGTCCGGTTTGGAGCAGGTAAGCACAAATGACAATATGGCATGACAAACAAAGATGGAAAGATCTAGCTCTGATTTATTATGTCTTGAAATATAAAAATAATTTAATCAACAAGGATACTGACAAAGTAAGAAGTAGAGGGGCTACAACCAAAACCACGCTAGCAAATCACACTTATTTTCCATAATGACTAACATAGTCAGCATATGAAAAAACTTCACATACCTGTGAGAGCCACTTGCTCAGTGGGATGAAACTTTATGGAGTTTACTGTGTGAAACAAAGTAAAATTTTAACATATGTTCACCCAGCATCTGTATTTTGTATCCTATATATAACACAGATCCTGCAAGACAGCTAATTTCTGATTATGCAAGCTTCTCTTGTTCTGCATATCCACAAGACCTCAATGAGTTCTGACATTTAACTTCTGACTGTCACAACTGTGCCTGTAAATTTCTTTATATGGGCTTGTTTATTCATTCAGCATTTGCAGAACTGTCTTCATGTGTCTCTACAAGTAAGAATCACATTAAAAATGTTCTCTGTATGAAATTTAGTGGAAGCTCACAACTGACTTGTTAATGATGTTGGCAAACCACCAAGTGAAACCGCAGTAAACATTTCTGTAGTTCTCCAAAACCCATTTCCCCCTCCCACACTCTGTTCCCAGTTTTCACAACATACCCTTATCTTACCTGATCCAACATGCCCTACATACTTGACAAGGCACTTCCCTGTCTCTATGCTCCACAGCAAAGCAGTGTGATCTACAAAGATTAAAAAGCAGCTGTAAATAGTTACAAATGCATGTTTTCTATTTTTAACCCTTTCAACAAACAAGTTATTTTCAAATGCAGAGCATACCATATGAAAGAGATTTTAAATGTAAACCAGACCAAATCCTCTTGATTACCACCTAATATATAAAATATAAAAGTTTCTTATCACTACAACTTAATACACACCTCCCCAAAAAAGTAAAGGTGCTGTCCTAATCAGCTTAATTTGCACTAAGTATTGAAAGGCAAATTCTGCTTCTGGTATTTTTCCTGACTTGGTTATATACTTCTGTACAATGCTCCAACTGTATACCATGAGGTCCAGAGAGAGCAGAGGAAGCATTCTGTGGTGAAAAAGGCAGTCACTACAAACAACAATTCTATGCACAATCTATTTACTCGCTGTACAGAAATCCCAAATGCATACAGATCACTGCAGAGCACTGAAAATTTATTTGAAAAGGAAAACCACTCCAAATGCCACTCCCATATCCTGCCGCACCCAAAACAAACAAGTATTTACGTGGGGAGAACCGTAACGCTGAACTGGAGAATGGCTGTTTCCACATTAAATCAGGACAAAGACAGGATGTCCCAGAAAATGACAAATCGTACCCCTCAACAGGCACATAAAATTTTAACAGAGGTTCCTGGTGCATAATATCAGAGTCCAGTCAGTACCTTCAGATTCTGCTCCAGTTTCAGAAGACTGTCGCTTCAAACTGACTTTTGTCTGGTTATGGTTTATTGCCCCAAAAGTTTTCCAAAACTACACAAGTTTCTAGATTGATCTTTGGACTAGAACAGATTTAGTGGTTTATTCATTAACACTTGTTCCCCCTCAAGTGGGAAGGAAGGAATCTAGTAAAGTTAGTAAGAACTGAAAACTGAGAATTTAAGCAAAAGGCAGAGGAATGCAAGAATACAATACAAAAGCTATGACTAAGTCTACAGCTTCTACAGAACAAAGGGTAAGCAGTACTGGGATGGAGAGCCTGCAGGGATCTCTGCATCCAGCCACGTGGCACTCTGTGCCAGAGGCTGCCCCAAGCAAGCAGCTCCCCATCCCACCCCTTCACACCACCCAACAGGCAGAGCTGGCTAAGGACAGTGTGACCTGCACGTAAGTTAACCAGCACATACTTTAGAAATACCAACAAGGATGCCTTAACTTTCTGATGGTTAAATACATTTCAAGGAAGTTCCAATTTTAAGGATTTTTCAGCTATGGAACTTCTTTAAAAGGACTTTCAGTGTGGAGCTCAGCATTCAAGTATGCTTTGGACCTGTATTTGCTATAGCTTAGGGACTAAGCCAGAATTTTCTAAATATTCAAGCAACACAAAACCTTACCAGCAGATGCAGTTCCCAACACCACTGGCTGAGTTTTCGCGACACTGACATCCCAAATACCATCCCTGTGGCCAACATATTCCTTTACCAGTTGACAGATTGCCCTTGATGTTGTAGTTTTAAAACTGGATACAATCTGAAATAGAGAGACCAACATTATTTTTCCACATTCATCCAAGATACAGCCATCATCTCACAAATAGATATTAACTTTTTCATGACTCTTTAATGTTCTGACAGTTCACTACTGTCAAAAATTTGACATCTGATGGTAGGAAAGCAGGTCTGGATGCAAACACACCCCTTAATTTCTTTTTTTTTTCCTTTTTAATAACACCCCCCTTTTTACAGAATGCAAGACAAACTATTCTGTACTACAACAACATAAGTTCTTTGGAGTAATGTGTTGCACAAGCGCAGAGTGCACTTCCCATTCAGCCTGGCTAAGGATCATAATGAAAGAAAAGAAAAAGACCAAACCCAACAAGAGACCTTACAACCTTCCTTGCCTATTCCCAAACAAGTCCATCTGATAACTCAAAGACAGTCCACGCTATCCTGTGTAGTGTCTTTGAAAAAAAAATGTACTTATTACATAATTCTAGTCAAATCCAAAAGCATTCCAATTCAAAACATTCAATGCTGTTTTCCTTGAAAACTGCACAAAGCTAATCAAATCAAACATTAATCTGAAAGCATATGCCTGTTTATTTGTGTAATAAAGCTTTTTTTTTAAAAAAAAAAAAAAGATATTTCAAACTCATCTAAACATTTGATAATCATGTCCCCTCCAAGTCAGTGCTATTATGGGAAAACCACAGAAGACTCATTAAATCCAAATTAGTATGTGCATAAGTAATATCAAATGAAAGGCAGAAAATCCTAGTAAAATGGTAACACTACAAAGCACTGTAGTACATGAAGGCTGAAAACACTCAGTATTTACAGAAAGGAAACAAACTGCAGGAATTCTACATTTTCAGATAAAGGGGAATGCAGTATTTAAAAAGAAACAAGAAGTTTGCCTTGCTGGAACACTTCCAGAGACAACTGTAACCGAGTGCCAAAAGATGACTTAAAAAGATGACTTAAAAAGATAAGACCACCATTACAAACACTCTATTTTTACCCCACAAGTCTAGAAGCTCCTAACTGTTCTTTGTGGAAGAATACCTGAAAAGCTTTGCTAAAACTGAAGCAAAAAGACTACTTCAATTTATCCGTGTTTTCCTCTGCAGGCAATTATGGGAAGGTATCTATCTGACCAGTTAAATCAACTCCTTTAAATACTTCAACACAAATCACATTAAGACTTATCTACAGCTTAGTAAAAGTTAGAAAGTTAATTAAGTCTACATTTCAGATACAATAAACTAAGGTTAAAATCCCATTAGTTTCTGGTATTAAAATAGAAGGTCTTAAGTATGCCATTAAAGCAAATTACTTCAAAATAGGTTCTTAAAGCTAAAAGAAAATCTACAAGAGCATTCCAAATCCTGAGCGTGTCAGCTCTCCAATGATGAAATGATAATGCCCTATTTGAATTCCAAATTAGCAGCTCATATGCGTTTTGGGTTCATAGCTGAAGTAGGAACAGTCATTAAGGAAGCACAGAAAAGAACATGGGCTAATGGTAAAGAATGTTAGTTCAACTACGCTGCACAATTTCCTATGTTCTGAATACAATCCTACAGATGCAACTTTCACATTGAATATAGTCCTTAAACTAAATGGACTCAGGCATGAAAAGCTGAACAGTTGACTTAATTATTAACAGTAAGGGTTAATATAGTACTCAGCTCAACCTCCAAACTTGAAGTTTTCCAGCTCTCAACCCCACACTCAAACTATGTTTGCACTGTCTTTCTAATGTCTTTCTAAGCCTCGTGCACAAGTTTTCTAGGAGAAATTAACCCCTACTCATCAACAACCACAGATTTTCCAAACCTGCTGGACAGTGGTTTCACTGATCGTTTAATGGCAAGGACATAAAACTTCTTTTGGAGTACCAGCAGTCCTGAATGAACACACAGAAGATAAGACACAAGTCTCATGAGGAATGGCTGAGGGAATTGGGTTTGTTTAGTCTTGAGAAGAGGAGGTTCAGGGGTGACCCCATCACTCTGTACAGCTACCTAGAGAGGGTTGTAGAGAGGTGGGGGATAGTCTCTTCTGCCATGGCTGCAGTGAGAGGACTACAGGGAGTGGCCATAAACTGAGACATGAGAGATTCAGAACAGATAGCAGGAAAAAAAATTCACTTTTCGGGTGGTCAGGCACTGGAATAGATTGTCCAGGGAGGTGGTGGAGTCTCCATGCCTAGCAGTGTGTAAGAGGCACCTGGATCTGGTGCTGGAAGATATAGTTTAGGGTTTAGGGGTTACAGCAGAGTGACAGGTCAAAGGCTGGACTTGAACTTAAAGGTCTCTTTCAACCTTGATGATTCTACGATTCTGTCAGAGTTCAAGAACACTATCCAACAGTAAACATCCCAATACAGCTATTTATTCAACATACACATTTTCTACACCTTTTTTCCCCTTCTTTCTATTTTTGCTTTTCTTCACTTCACATACCAGTTACTGGATAAAGTTGACAGGGCCTGGATTACTTCCTGCTTTGTTAATCATACATAAACAATTTTCCAAGCCAGGAAAGGAAACAATTAATATGGAACTTCCTAAAAAGAGGTCTCTGTACTGTGGAAAATTTTTGCTGTAACTTAGCAGATCTGATTATCATTTACAAGTAATTGGGCAACCATATCCTGGGTGTGTTTCACCTTTATCTGTCCTCCTTCTTAAATTCATACAGTTTCGTGTACTTCTATACAGAGATTTGTCAAAAAGGAAACAATTGTTTACCACGTAAATAAGTGAAACTTAATTTAAAATGAAACAGTTGCATGACAAACAAACTGAAACCCCTCTGCAACAACATTTCATAGGCAGACAGGACACATCCTCATTTCTAATGAAAACTTCATCAAGTCAGGAGCAGCCCAGCAGCCCAACACTGTGACTGATGAACGGAACTTCCTGTGGAGCAACGTTAAACAGTGAGGGCAAAAACTACATCTTCCAGTAAGTTCTGCTCCTTTCAACCACTGGGTGAAGAAATACCTTCTTTTCAGAATCCTTTTTCTGACTGAAAAGAATCAGCGATCCTGGAACTTAGTTTATGATGGAGCAAGTTACATCGTTTCAGTTTATTTTTGGCCTCTGCATAAACAGATGATGCTTTCCTGATGCTGTAATAACTGTCATAGCCAGGGATTGTTAACAGCTGCCATAACACCTCGTTAACATCAAAACATGGATTTCACACAGTGATTCCTGCATCTACAAACAACTGCAGTTAAGTTACAGAATCTTGCCCATTAACATATATCAAAATGTCATTTTTAAGCATACCAAACACTAAATCTACTCTACCTCTTCAGGATTTGGACAGTGGGAGAGAAGCCTTACTGCTAAAAGCATCTTTTTCTGATATGAGTGTTGCCAATTTAATATTTGGACTCCTAACTCAGCTAAGGGATGAAAAGTATTCCAGTATGGAAATTTTATACAAAGGACACCAATTAAGAATGCTTACCTCAGCATTTCCCCTGAGAAAACACACAGATTGTTTTACTCCTAGCATGTTTTACCAATATTAAAGCAGTCAACGATCAGCTTTCTCATTAAAACAAGCAAAAAGTGAAAGTTCTTATCAGAAAAAAACAAAACTCTTTATAGGTTTGCAATCAGAAAAATGTAATCATGTGCAACTACACAAAACAACTGGTTTGCAAAACTTAGTCTCTTCTAATTTCCCACAGGGAAAAAAACAACCAACCCACAAAAGAGCACATGCACAAAAAGGCCAAACCCCTACATGGTAACAGTATAAAGGATGGGCTGAAGAGAAAAGTTGTGATCTAGTACCCCAGTGAGTTTGGAATACAATCGTTTCTGGGAAACAGCATTGTTCGTTCAATACTCAAAAAATATCAATAAAGAATTCCAAAGCTGCTGAACTCTTAAAACTCTAAGTGCCTTTTTTCCAGATAGGGCATTGGGAAACTCTAACTACATCCAGTCAGGATACAGATGGAAAAAAATCATAGTTTATTAGAAACTTGGTTATCCTCTTTCTAAATCCTTGGCTGTAGTCTCTCTGTGGGTCAAGAGAAAAAGGTTGCAGCCTTGACTTTCCTGTGTAGGAAGGAAGAAGAGGTCAAAATAAAGCCACTCCCATGAAGTGCAGAAAGGTCTCAAAGATCACACTGGACAGAGATGCTCTCAATATTCTAATTTCCCTCATTCCCTCAAAATACTGGCATTTACTCCCCAGTAAATTCTGACCCAAAGTTGTGTGAAAGAATATATCAGCACATTCTGACACCTGTTGGCTACAACAGATGTGCATGATATTCAGGTTTTCAATTTTTCATGTTCCACTACTCATAGCTACTTTGCTGCACGTGAGTATCAGAACACTGGGAAGCAAAGCAGTTACCCCAAAGTCTGCATCTCACACTTTCCAGCTTCCCATGCTAGAGCTGGGAGATCTGCTTGTCTTGCCCAGGGAAAAATAAGAGTGCTACCTTACTAGAGTAAATGAAGACAATCATTTAACACCAGCCTTAAAAAAAAAAACCAAAACCAACACCAGCACACAAAAACTGCACAACACTGCACTTGAGAGTACTAATTCATAACTACATAGTAGGTGTATTAAAACTATATTGTCCCTATCAATATCATGTTGTCCTTTTTGAAGTGGCCTCATTACAGAATTAACTGCTTCATTAACTCTAAAGAAAAAAGGAAGAGACACCTCTATCCATAAAATTGGCAAGAATAAAAAGTTTGAGAAACAATAAAATTAAAAGGAGACCAAATCAAACATAGTAATTAAGTGTACTTCACCACACTATTATTAATCTTCCTCTCAAACTTTCAGACTACTTAACAGAAGGTATTTCCAAAACACCTACAGTCATTCCACAACCACCCACCAGCCTGCACCACAGGTCACCACAGAGTTTCCCACACAGCTGGCTCACGTACCAGATTCCACTGTGCTTTCCTCACATTTTATTTAACTTTAATAATGCAACATGAAATGAACCTGACACAGGGCAAAAAGAGCAGTAAGTAAACTCTCTGTGAAAACTGAAAAAGGAGAGAAAGAAGAAAACAAAAATACCAGACAGATGCAGATGTACAAAATGAAAAACATCAGAAAGGTTAACTGTGCCAAGACACCAAGCAAAATAAAGATCACTAGCTACTGATGTGCAAGGCCTGCAACGTAAAGGAAACAAATCATTCTAGTCTCATAGTTCAGAAATAAAACTCATTTTAAAAACTCAATTTATAATAGTACACACACAGGTGCCTACTTAAATCCCCATTTCAACTGCAAGAACCAAATCTTTGTCCAGAAATTCACTACCAAGTTCTTATTTCCCTCATGAAATTGAATTAATTTTTTAGTTCTCTTTACAGAACAGTAATCACACATACACAGGTGTGCACACTCTCTCCCCTCAAACATTCCCTCTCCAAGGAAGGTAGGGAATTACAGTGAAAGTGTCACATAGTATGGCTGAAGTAATGGGTAACCAATGAATCCAAGGAAAACACACTGTTCCCTGCGAGGCAGATTTACTCACAGAGCAGCATACTCAGCTCAAAGAAACCACGACTTACAACTTAAAGACAGTCATGTTAGTCTCGTGAGTACACAATGATGAGTAGAAGTTTAATTTGTCTCATACCTTGCTAGTAGATGCCTTGTAAGTTGTCTTTAATTTCTGAGAAAGCTGACTGGTACTATGACTGGCTGTTGAGACAAATAAATTCAGAGGAAGATATTTCAAATAGAGCATTAGCTTGTTTGTGTAAGCAACTGGTATTAATTCGCTTCAATAACATGCTAAGCTTTCACCATCAAAGTACAAAACAAGTGAATTCAAAACCACTGGTTTAGGATTCTTTGTGGTTCTCTTACCTTTTGTTTTCAGTTGTCCTTTGCTCAGTTCAGCTCCATCAATTGTCTGTCCTTCACCTGCTAAACGCTCATTCAGTGTATCGATCTCTCTACGCACTAACAAAACACAAATTCACGTTCACGTCAAAAATTGAGTATCATTAACATCACTAACATAATATTTAAGATTTGTTACGGCTAGTAAGTAATCTATTTTATGCTAAGGAGAGGAAAAGAGATCCACTGGGATTTTATAAAAGCAGGTCAATTATAAGTCTCACCAGTGCCATTTCAACACAGGACAGAATGATGGCACAGCTAAAACAAATCAGGTACTCATAAATGATTTCCAGTGGCTGGGCTGGTTTAAACTTGCACAACTTCATTTTATAAGAACATTTTCAGTGACTTACAACTTTTTTCCTCAAAATCTAGGCTGATACTCTTTCAGTGTTCTCCTCAGGTAAAATCTTACTGAGAGACTTTAACCAAGCACTTTTTTTTTTGTGCCTGAGAATAAATCAGGGCCTGTCTTTCAGTAACTCTTTGGGCTTCTTTCAAAGAAGTCACTCTCATTCAGGCTTGAACACATGGGAGAATGTGACAGCAGGAGCATGATTCTTGCCATTCTGAGAATGTCACCGAACTCTCAGTCCTAAGCACTGTACAAGTCACTCTACCCTTCAATACCACATCCAAGCACTTGAAATGAGCAAAGCAAGATTATCTTTCCTGTCTCCCCAGGCACATAAACCTAAACTTTTACAAAACACAGACAATGTGAAAGAGAAGCAAACAAACAGACAGGCTTGTAATAACATTTGACTAAAACAAACAAGCCAGACAGATACAAGAATTGCCTGAAAGGACTAAGTCTGAGATATGGAAGGGATTAAGAAAAGGCAGGAACCAGAAATAAGCAGCAATAAGGGAAAAGGACTATATGGAAATCAGGGAGGAAAAATCTGAGATTCCCTATGCACAGTAACTGCAACACTAGTGCAGGAATTAGACCAAGAACAAAAAATAATAGACTGAGTACACGAAAAGAAAAATTTAGTAATTGCCAGGGGGTTGGAAAAAGATCACAAAGGCCAAATGTGAACTAGAACTATGAGGTGAAGAAAGAAGATGAAGAAACAGAAATGGAATAGGAAGAAAATAATCATACTCTGGAGGGTGCAATTTCACCACTTGTTTCCTGACAAGCATTTCAAAAGGTTGGGAACCCTATTTTTCTTGCTACCAGCCAACTTCTCAGCAGGAGGCCCAGAACCCAGTTGTGCAAATTGTCACTGAAAATGTGGACTTTTGATGATAACCTTTAGCCAACACAACCTTGGGGTTTAAGAGAATAAAAACCAGCACGTTTTCGAAAAGCAGACAAGAACAATTTTTTTTAACGTGCGTCTTTGGTTTAAGTGTGGGAACAGATTAGGTGTGGAAAGAAATTGATTTGGAGCTAAATCAGACAGATTCCACAACTCAGAAGACAAGCCATGTAACACAGCTTCCAAAATCCAGCCAGGGAAATGGAGCAGAGGCTTTACTGGATCACTCTACAGGCCTGTGCTGCTTAACTTTGGATCCTCCTACATCACCTTGGATCACTCACATTATCAGACAACTGCACCCTCATTAAACAAATTACATTTTTTGCAGATAACACCTGGAGTTTTCATCTCAGTGCTTTGCTTCAAAACTCAGAAACAGCTACAGGTGCTGGTTATGTACTGTATAAATAGTATGATCCAAGCCCACTCC